CCCTCCGCGCCAAGTCACTCTCCGCGCGCCGCGCGATAACCATTCCGCGATGAATATGCTGAGTAAGCCATCCCTATATTAACTGCGCCTCCTTCCTCGCGGTTACGAGGGACGCGGGCGATATTGACCATAAAACATATTCTTCGCCCCATTATTTCAGTATTTACGCAAGTCACGCGCTGCGAAGTTTTGAGATAGCGGCACTGCCCTACGACGAAACATCGTACCAGTGTCGAAAATGAAGGTTACTACTCGTTGTTTCGTACTTTTCAACTGAGAAAAAGTTGAGTTCCTTACGTTAGTAACAGTGAGAATGAAGTAATTTCACTCGCACTTTGTTAGTCTTCCTAGATTACCCTTGTTAAATGCGCTCGTCACCTCGAAATGTTTATGGAAAGTTTTCTCTCCTTAAGTTATTACGTATATTAAATCCCTTGTACTATATTCTCGTGTTTACGTTGGCGTATTTCATAGTGAATTTAGACGAAACGCCAGAAGCTAATTACACTCCACGAACATCCAGATGCACATCCATTTTTCAAAGTTATCGCTCGTCGCTCGGCGACAGTGCGAGGACGCACAAAATACGCATTGTAATATCGCGGAGCACGTGTACGATATTTTCAATGAATTAGTTGTTTGCGAGGAGAGGAAGCCAGCCGTAGTCGACGTGTGTGGGGAAGTATTCATCAATCTTCATCAGCCTCTTGTTATGCTCCGTTTGTGGCTCGTTATTCCGTCATCAATATTAATATTTCCTCTTATTACAAAGGAGAAAGCCACCCCTCGCCTCCCCCGGCATCGTCGGCGTCCCCACAGTCCTCGTCGGGGGAGGCGAATGTGAGGGAAGAGAAGACTAGGACACGGGGCAGAGAGGACGCAGCGGGAGGGATGTCGAAGGAAGCGGTGACAGCGGTGGAAATGGGTCAACGACGTGGGTTGAAACCAAGGTGACGTACTATGAAAAATTGTTTGGAACAAGACAAAAGGATTGGGAGTTAATGAAAACGACTATTTCAAAATAGAGCATTAATGGACGTCATTGTAGCAGAGGTAACAATTACAAGACCGATAAAGTAATGAAGTTGGTGGAGGATATGGAGTGACAGAAATGATGCCAAAATAAAATCAACACAAAGAAAAGTAACCTAAATGCGATATGAAAGAACCGATAAATTGAATGGTCAGAGTTCAGAACGCCGGAAAAAATAAAAGTAAGCTTGCAAAGATACCAAATGGAAGTACCAGAACACTGAGAATGACAGCGATAACGTACAATGACGGCGGGAGTGAAGAAGACTGGAGACAAGGACCACCCCAAATACATATGGATACGAAAATGATGCTTATAACGAAGGCTGCGGAGACGGTGGAAAGAAGGCTAACGGAAATGGCAGCAGCGTCGTCGGTGACGGCTGGCGCGGGGACGAAGGAGGAGGAGGAGGAGGAGGAGGAGGAGGAGGAGGAGGAGGAGGACGCAGAGGTGGCAGCCGGCAGGCGCCGCATCGTCGCAAAAAAAAGAGAAGAAAACACGAAGCGGCGTATTTCATATCGGGCGCCATCTTAGCGCTGTTTAGCTACCGCGCCGCAGCCGGCCGGGACTCACGCCCCGCTCGTAAAAATCTCTCGTTAACTCGTTGCAGCGCCCTGCCCCCTCGCTTCCTCCTCCTTTTCCCCCTTCCCATACCCCGCGCTCGTCCATCCCCTCCTCTCCTCCTGCGCTATTCGCCAGCGTCTTCCGCCTCCTCCCTCCGCCACCGCCGGCATCGGAAGCGCTCGGGGCGATACGAGCCCGAGAAGACGATCTTGGGGCACCCCGGCATTCAGTTATATGTCTCCGCCGCTTTCTGCCTCTTTCAGCGTAACGCGTCTCCTCTCCGCGCTCCTCCTTGGAGCCTTGGAACCATTAGCTCTGCCACGTCATTCCCCGCTGCACACTTTCAAGCCACCTTGGGCGAGTCCCGGCGTCCACCCGGCTGTTCCGTCCTCACCTCTCTTGACCCTTTCGTCGTTTGCATAACCCTCCATCGCCTCCCGCCCATTCCGCCTGTCTCAGCCCGCGCTTTCGGCGCGCGAAGCCCTGCGTGCGCGGGCTTTTACCGTAACGGGCGTCGGATCCTCGTCGAAGCTCACGCGCGGCCCGTAATATGTGCGGGAGTCGATGAAAGATTACCATACTGTTTTGTAGTCGTCGTAAAATGGCAGTATCGCGCGTCCGCTGCGTGCGGCAGGCTACGGCCAGAAGATGATCTTGTAATTAGAAGAAAAAGCGTACAAATGCCCGACGCGAACCGTAAACGTGGCTTAGATTTACGGTAGACGGCACAAATTCACAGGAGAATCACGCGAGCATAGAAAATTTGCAATTGTGAACCGTAAGTCTAAAGATTACTAATAAGAGTATTGCACTTTCTAAAAACAAACCCTATTAAGATTAAGTATATTATAAGAGGAAAAGTATAAAACGTCATTAATTCGTAAAATACGAATTAACATTTGAATGTGGTCCGTTTACTTATTTTGCTGATAGTTTTAAACATTAAAAATATAATTAAATAATTAACTTGTTTATAGAGAATATTATTGATATATACTTATCTGTTTCAGTTTTCTGAACAGTTTCTAATACGCGTATTTACGCAAAATATGGAATTTTCAACTACTGTCGGATATTTGATGCTCAATTCGCTTTTTTTTTGTTCTTAACAACTCTCTCACAGCACAAACTGTTGACAAATATCCAGAGAGATTGATTGAACTTTTATGGCCCCAAACCACTTGGAAAGCCAAGAGATCAAGAAAACATTCCATCTGGATGAAATCTATAATGCATCATTGTATCAAAAAAAAGTTCTCCTTTTGATCATAAGAAAAGGTGTTTGATTTCCAAATCCGAACTTATCGCTTTTTCAAAGACCGAGCAATACCGCTTTACAACACTCCCGGATCCCCTCGCCACAGACCAGGCATATCTATCACCGCCCAAGCAGTGGGGAGCCCAGACGGCAGCTGCCTGCCCGCCGCCATTCACGAGCGTCCATCACGGGCGCACCTTACGTTCGGGGGCGGCGGGGGCGGCGGGGGC